TCAGTTTCCATCACTGATTTTGAATAAGCTTGGCTACGGTTGTTATCTTTTTCCGAACCTACATTGATCAATTTGACTTCAAACTCAACAACTCCAGCGCGATCGGCAAGAATTCTAGGAGGTTTGGGAGGAACATCACCACCAATCTCCTGTTTATCGCTTGATACAAAGTCACCTCTAGCTCTAGAATTTACTGGTGAAGTTCCATTAACTTCAACTGGAGAACGAACATGTTTCTCTTCGTTCGGAGTGGTGTGCTTTGGACTTTGCAATTTGATTTCAATACTGGAACTTTTCTTCCGCTTCACTCGGGGTTTTGGCACTGGTTTATCACCATTCGAAACTTCATTTTCATATCGCTTTCCATCGTCTACAGGTCTATGACCAGTTTGCGGTGCATTATTTGTAGAAACAACACCAGTGTTTGATCCGAAATATGCAGAACCGCTCGAGCTACCAGTTGTGTCTGTACTCCCAGAACGACCTTTTCTCCCATAGAAATCAATATGCTCGGAACTAGGAGAGACATTCTCATAATCTTGATCGATGTCATATCTCCGCTTGTCTGTCTTTCGAAAACTAAATCTCCCTTTCTTCTGGTCGTCGACATCAAAACTATGACCAGCGATAATGTTCCCAAGCTCACCGTGCTGTTTGCGCTCCACTTTATGCTTGTCTTTCTCCTTTTCTTTCTTCCTTTTTTCTCTTCGTTCGTCCTTTGTCTCGTGAACCTTGTCTTTGTCCTTCTTTTTAAAGGAAAACATTCTGAAAGATTCCTTCTCCAAATGCTACGCTAGTTTACCAGTTTACTTACAGACACCACTTCAATGAGCAATACCAATGGCCGCCAAATTTTTAATTCATTAATCCGGGCACTGAAAAATTGCGTTCACGTGACCAAAAGTATGACAAAAATTGCGTTACGTCAGATGTTGGTCACACAAATACACTCTCGAAAATTCCGAAAAAGAGACCTTTTCTTCCCTTCAAATAAGAAAAAATCTCCAGGAAAAGTTGAAAATTTCCACTGACTTGTTAAATCTAGATTTCAGTAAATTGTTGCTATTATTTTTATTTATTTTACAGTAAGGATTCGAATGCAAAAGCAAAGCGCGCATGGACTTGAACAGTGAGGTCACGAAACTCAGCAAAGTCACGCTACATGTACCTTGATCGTGCACGGCACAAGGTGGAGGGTCGCTATCGTACTACATTGACTTTTCCCGCAAAAATAAACGAACGAGGTGAGAGATCAAAAATGGATATTGAAAGACACTTATTTCTAGAATATACGAAAGAAGATAAAATAGATTGTTTAATAGAATTCCCATCCTCTGTGTAATTCTGCTTTTCAGATGAGGTCATCTTGTTTCTTGGTAAGCCATGACGTCATTCGGTTGTGGCGGTCGCTTTGCGTGATCTCCTCGACGAAACGTTAGACAGAAAACTGTCTAAAGATCGGAAGTCTAAAGATCTTAAAAGATTAACTTTGCTTGAATATGGGGATAAACCTTTTTATAGACAGATCCATTACTATAAAAGTCATAAAAAGTCTTTTTACGTGTTTTCAAATCAGGGATATGCGTTTAAAATAGTTTCAAGGTTAAGAGATGTCTATAAATTTCAATACAGGCAGGGGCACCCAACGGCAATTTTCTATAAATATCTGTTCAATTTGAGAACTAGGGAACATTTGTTGGATTTTCGAACATCTACAAAATGGTATAATTAAAAACGGATATTTACCCTAAAAAAGGCCACCTAGAATTTTCGGGAGCCTTTTCCCGGCTTTTTTTGAAAATTTTCGGATCACTAACTTTAAAATCCGAAAAAAAAGTTTGTAGGGGATAAAAATATGCCTGTATCTACCGTTTATATACTAAAATACGTTCAACAATGCTATGTTAAGTGGTTTTGAACTATATCCTCGTTGGGTGCCCCTGTACAGGGATAAGGGATAACCCTATTAAAAACGGCACTGCTTTTAAAGATAACAACATTAAGAAAAAACACGCTTTCGTTTTTTTTGTTTCATTTAAAGCTTCATTTTTATTTTAGTACAAGGGCTGTTTAAAATCGACTTTGAAATGTCTGTACAGTCAGGACCTCTACCGATCGATGCAGGACTTCTGTCATGATACGTAATTGTTTTGGATCGTTTTGTCTTCGTTCTAGTAGGCCAATAACGTTCTGTGATACACAAACGGACAGCTCCAGTTAGAAGTTTCAATAACCGATATTCAATTTTGTTGCCAATGGCTTCCTTGCAAGAAAACTTGCCAAACGTACTGGGAGCATCCCTCCACCCCAAGTCTTGCCCTTAGCATTGCTCGAAGTAGGTTCGACATGGAACAAATTTTTTTGGCTAAGTCCGGTGAATGCTATGGCACCGGTTCATATTTTTCCGGAAATGTCAGGCCAGTCAAGGTCAATAACTGTCGCATATGTCTACAAGAGCTACGACGCCGACTTCGGAACATTTCAAACTGCGCCTTACCCTGTTCCAGGCTCCGAGATAGTCGCGTGCCTTTTTCTTTCCCATCTTCCCCACTATCTGAGAGCCTGGAACAGGCTAACTCTGCCTAAACTGTTTTTTCACTTTGTAACACAGTGACTTTTCCATAGATTCCTTTGATTGCCGTAGCTTGTTTGCTGTGGTCTCCAGTTTGCGTTACGTCCCTTTCTCAGAGTGAGGCAAATAAAATAGGAGGCATCTGCCTGCAGGCTATGAATATTGGAGTTTGAACCAATCAAAGTCTCTGCCCGCGGTTTGTAACCCGGCTTCATGCGCGGGGCCCGTTTCTCAGAAGTCCCGCGGATTAAAATTAACGGACCGGGAGGGCAGTTCAAGTGTCCTGTGTTCAAACATCAGGAAACATGCATTCGATAGCGCTTTCCACCGGATAAATCATACCCGGCGGATAAGTATTAGGGAAACCAATTGCGTTATCCACTGAATAAACATTTATCCGGTGGATAGTGTTATCCGACCTACTCACCTAATTTGAGCAACTGGAGCATGTCCTAGATCGAGGATCAGTAGTTTTGCAGATAACAAGATAAAACTTTCATTCAACAAAACAAAATGGACTGGTTGGTTGGCTTGGGCCCTCGATTGCTTTCTTTAGATTTTGATTTGAATACCGTATTTATTCGATTAACCGCCCTGGGCACTTATTAAATTTTTGGACCTTGATAGTGGGCGCTTATTCGAGGTGGGCGCTTATTCGAGGCTGGGCGCTTATTAAATTTTTACCATTCTCAGCAAGTGAAGTATGTTTATTTTGCAACAAAACAATAAATGGTAGCAACAAAAAGCGAAGAAGTAACAAAGCAAGGTTTTTGTAAAATACTCTGAAGAAAACTCCGTCTTCGGGAGGGCCTCTTATTATCTTTTATTGGAGTTTGTGTGGGAGGGAGTGGGGTGGGGGTGGGCGCTTATTCGAGGCTGGGCGCTTATTAACTTTTTCTGCCTTTAGGATGGGCGCTTATTCGAGGTGGGCGCTAATTCGAGGTTGGGCGCTTATTCGAATAAATATGGTATTTGATTTCGGGCCCGAAAAGTTGCCGGGACTTTAACTGGCACGTCTGCGATTGAGTCAAAGCAAAAACTGATTTATACAGTCGAACCTGCTCTAGTAACATGAAGCAACTATATCACAACGCAAGAATTTTCCCATTCAAAGCTCTTTATTTGGGACTCTAGAACGGTTATTCTTTCGAGGTTATTTGGCGTAAGCGTAACATGAAAGAATAACCTCTAGAACTCTGCTAGGCGACCGCGGCTCCTCTTTGGAGTGACAGGTTTTAATGGAATTGACCACTCCAGAAAATACCATAACATACCATAATGCTCTTTGTTTGTCACCCCAAAATTTTGGATAAGCATTGTCTTCAGTTTTTCTTGGCAGTTAAAATAGCCCCAAGAGAAACTGAAAACAATGGTTATGCAAAATTTTGGGTTGACAAACAAAGAGCGTTATGGTATGTTGTGGTATTTTCTGGAGTGGTCAATTGCACGCACGGTGCGATCTCTATGACCAGTATGTTCGCTGCACGTAATACACTCAGAGACTGACGCCAGAGAATTCAACTACACTTATCGTAGATCAATGAATTACACACTTTAAATATTCTTCCACAAACCTTTTTAAGTGACAACAAAATCTTCGCATAAGCAAGAAACATTGAGCAATGGTTACGTCCCAAGCCTGCGAGTAAAGGAACACTTTGCTCCGGCGACAAAATTTTCCCCGGACTCGCCCCACTGAGCCTGCTCGCAGGCTATCTCACTCCCAACTCCAAAACCCTCTTTTTCCATAAAATGGAAAAACAAGCTTGCACCCTCAGAGGCCTAGGTCATTAAGCCTCCCAAAAGAATCGGCTTGGACGAAAGTTTTCGCCGGAGAGTTCTCATTCCTCCCCGCCCCAACTGACTCCAGACGTGGTTAATCGATAAACCGATGATCGATATTAATCGATAGTAATCGATATCAATCATCGATGATATTCGATTTCCATATCGATCGCCAGATAATATCGAAAATTTTTCTGATAGAAATCGATGATTTTTTTGTCGATTGTTATCGACTGCTATCGATTTCTATCGATTATCAATTTAGTGAATCGATAAATTATTAAAGAGTGCTATCGAGAGGCCAAAGGAACAAACTTCACAAACAGCAAGTTGGAGGGCAAATAATTTAATTCCTTGCTTGTAAATATAGGAATTGTTTGAACTTAAATCTTTTCTCCTCGAAATTTCCTTCACATAGAACTTTGAGGAAAATATACAAATAATCGTATCGTCTTCTACATTTATCAAAATGTACACAGTATTTTTGCGCAAGCAACGCAACGAATGCTCCAGGAAAAAAACTCCTACAACAAAACTGGACGTCTGTTAATGGTGCGTGGAAACGAATCCAAATAGAAACGCTTCTATAATAAATGATTTTACACCCTACTTCCCAAGTCTCAAATACAAATTTCTACCACTTTAATAAGAACATTCTGGAAAAAATGCTTTCTTTTGCAATTTCAAACGTGAAACTTGGAGCCATATTCGCGACTAGAAGTAAGAAATAAGCGGCGGATCAAAAACCTGAGAGAGGGCAAAGTAACAAAACTCAGTTTGAAGCCTGAAAATTTTAATTTTGTGCTGATTCACCAAAACCCGTTAAGTTTATTGCTTGCCTCTTCAATTCTAGTTTTGCTGAAATGACGTTAAGTTGTAGGCAAAGTGACATAAACACAGGGAAATGTTCATTACACTGCTCAAAATCTGAGATGATATCAACCAGTCTAAAACATCGTAACCTTGAACTATGTAATAACCTGTTCTAAAAACAACCCTGCCCGTTGGTCCATACATTGATCAATTTATAAACAAAGAAGGCGCAATGTGACACAAGAAAACAAATTTTTTCAAAATATTATATACCACTATGTATAGGTACAAGCGACTTTTTCACAGCACTTGAGCGACGAAAATAAATCTTAAACTTACTCGTTCACTGCATGAGCTTTGCGAACTAGTTGTAGGTCATAGAGAATGACAATAAACGAGAAAAGACAGTTGGTGGAAAACCACACACACAAATCGAAAAGCTCGTATACAGATTTTGGCGAATCAGCAATCGTTATTAAATATTATTAATAATATTAATATCTAAACCAGAATGTCTCTTTCGCAATGGAGAAAACAGGGAGCTTTATACCAATTTCCAGCATCGGAAATTTATATACTATACACCGTTATATTTTCGCCGCTTATGGCCTATCAGGCGCAGCCAAGAGAATGTCTGCAGTGCGTACATGCTCGCTTCCTACTGCATCCCCTGGACTCCGACTTCGCGGTCTCATGCCAGGCAGAGGCAATCCCAGCATTCCACGCGGGGGAAGAAATCCCGGGATGCCTGGCGGGTGTGTGACAGCTGACATGGCGGAACCACTAAGATACGGATGGCTACTTAAGGATCCAGGGGCGAAGATAGAAGGTGGAGGAATGTGAGGATGGGTGTGGCTATGAGGGATGGAATACGGGTGTGGATGAAGATGGGGAGGAGGGTATCCCCCGATACGGCGCGCCATCGGAGGATGAGCGGCGAGTCGAGCAAGGTCGGCTCGTTCTCGTTCTTCGTAAATGTTTCGTTTGTCCATGAAACTTGTGAAGACACCGTGTGGATTACCAAGTACACCGCTATGTCTGTCACTTGATAGTACAACAAGTTCATGTTCATCAGTTAATCTCCTTTCGCTGGATAACTTGGGTAACTCGTCCCTCCGGCTGCCGGAAATAATACTTGAGAAGGAGGCGGAAGTGGAAGAAGTGCGTTCCAAAGAACCTCTGATTTCTTGTGATGATGGCGAGGTTTCCCTTTTAGGATCCGCGCTGGTCAAACTAGCGATATTAAAGCCTGTGGAATGTGTAGGTCGGCTACTTGGAGATCTTCGAGCCTCTGCTGGCTTTTCCCTGTCACGTTGCTTGTCAGTTTCTTCATCGGAGACATGAACTGCACTCCTCTCTCGCTCCGAGGGTTTACTGGACAGTAAGTTGCCAACTCTGTGGGGTGACTCAAGCCTGCCTCTCTCCTTATCTCTATCCTGATCACGATCTCGACTCCTATCTCTTTCACGCTCACGTTCAAGCTCGCGTTCTCGTTCCCTACCACGTTCGTGTTCACGATCCTTCTCCCGTTCATTCTCGCGGCTAAGCCAACCCGGCACACGTCCCCAATCACGATTAATTCCATGGGTGACACCATAACTTGATCCAAGGCCTAGAGAGCTGCCAGTTAAACTGCTACTCGCAGTACTCCTGAAAGGACTGGAAATAGACGCACCTAAGCCTGACCTCAGTCCTCCCACTGGGCTGCCCCCCAGACCCATCATACTGGGTGAGGTAGACGAGCCGATTCCCATGGATCCTCCACTGAAGGGGGCCACCAGACCGTGACTGGATCCATGAGCTGTAGGTATGGGAGCTCCCGGTAAAAACGGACCAGCTGTGCAAGAAATAAAAGTACAAGTCATGTTTCAAACGCAGCAACTAAGAACATTCTTGGTTTGAAAACACCTGACAAGGAAGCTATGTTGGAGGTCAAAACAAGTTATCTTAGTGATAACACACGCTAGAAATAACTATATTCCTTACCACCCGCAGGAATGGGAGGCGCTGCAACTGGACTCACTGTTCCAGGACCACCGTGAACAGGATACGGAGCATCATGAGTACTGGGGCGAGTGGATAACGACAGACAGCCTCCAGACCTGCTGATGGACACTTGCTCTGGTTTTACATGAGGATCTTTGTGTAATTCAGCCTGAACCTGTCGGGTGAGACAAGATAACAACAAATCAAAAGAGAAATGAGTAGCTTTGATGAGAGGTAGTAGCGTATTCTACGCAAGAACGTAGAATATAGACACTAGCAGGGTGCGCTTAGCAAGAGGTTACTCTTACAACGTAGTTTGAACTAATTTTCTTAACATTCTAAGAAAAGGGCACCAAAATTATATAATCAAAATGAAGATCCTTTGGGATGCAGTCAGACCAGTTGAATCATCCCTACTGATTCAATCACGGCTTCGGTTGTTGCCGCCTCATGCATAACTGGGCTAAAATTCTCTCATAGCCCACGACTACAACCTTCTCTCCTCGCTCATCTCGGCTAGCGAAATGTCCCCAGCGGTGAGAATCGAGGACAGACGGCTGTATTCACAGGCTAACTCTCTCATGATTTAATTTCCCATTTATTACTGAAAAAGAATTCTTAGCCTCACAATTTTTATTTATTTATTGACTATTTTCCGACACAAACAGTTACCCTACAGTTGAAATTTCCATTTAGTTATCGCCATCACTTTTACGCTAGGGCAACCATTATGCCACGACCCCGGTAACAATTCGTTGCAGGTACTAGGAATGCTAAGACATTATTCAATACCACACACGACGCTGAAATTTTGATTCTAAATACCATGCCTTGCAAGGACAGTTGTAATCGTCTTATAAAATATTCAAACAGTGTGGAAGTAAAAACTCGATTAAATTCGTACCTTCGCCAAAAAGGAAACTGTTACTGCCACAATTTTGATTAAATCGTACGATTAATTTTTCAAGTGACTATACAGTAACTCCAACGAATAGAATAAATCTGTAACAACTTCACGCAGGTAGAATGGCATTATGTACCCTGCAAGTTTTCCTTTTTCTAAATAAAATAATTTTTACCTTCTGTTGATGGTAATAAATTTGCCACGCGATCTGAACATGTGTCGCACACCATTTTCCAGGCTTCTAAAGAGAAGAGAAATCGAAATTAGTTTTAATGGAGCTATTGACTACTTAAATTAATTAATTATACAGGTCAGCAAATTCGAATCAATTACGAAAACCCAGTTTTCTGATCAAACGAGATAAGAAGTATATGAACCACACGATGAAGAGGATTCGAACAAATGCATAGCCTACGTGGCAAACTCAAGTAGGTCGCACGAGAACGTGAACTTTGCAGGTAGACGAAAGTCAGAGGGAAAATCGATCGCGCGAGCGCGCACGATTCGCCTCACTGTTACACTATCTAACCACTCCAGCTGAAAAAAGAGGCGACGCTAGGGCTTTGATAACTAAAAACATACTCTGTGGAGTGCTTGATACTGCTTCTTTAAAATTGACCATCAATTCTTCTTTAAATACCGTATTTCCTCGAATAAGCGCCGGGGCGCTTATTTAAAATTTTGGCCTAATGTTGGTAGGTGGAACAGGGGTCTTTTTTGCATGAGCATGCGCGACCGCTGACTTGTCAAAGAGCACGCGACCAGTGACAGCGACCGTGCTGCATAGTCATAGGAACCAAATTGTTCACCTTGAAAGCTTGCTTGAGATTGAAATGGTAGCAGGAACTTAGGAAAGACCTTCGTTGTACAAAATAAGTAAAGATCTGTTGATTTAAAGTGGAGACCGATGCGCCGAACGAGGTGAAAGAGCAAGTTTCTCAAGGATGTCTGACACGAACATGGCTGCTTGTTGTTGTTTGGTGCTCGACTCGTGTCTTGATTCCCCTTTAAGAACCGCAAAGCTTAGCATAGAATGCATTGCTGGTGCGTAGCTATTGAGCAAAATGTTCTTTATTTAGTGTTTGTCTATAAATCGGATGTAAATCAGTTTCTCGATGCCGTAGAGGATTTCTGTCAATAATTTGTTAATAGCTGATTTAGCCATATTTCGGGAGTGGATTAATAACGATCAGCGGGCGACTACCACGCCGTTTTCAGTTGGAATAGAAAGTTTTTGCCTTAAGTATTTTAGCGATACAAAGTTTGTTTATACGAAAATTGTAGAACTTCTTGTTTTTCCGTGGACTAACATTGTAACGCATCTTTTACAGGAATTTGCTTTTAGCGAGAATTTAAACGTTCTAATGATTTTTGACTTTTGGTCGGCATCACATGTTTACTGTACTTCTTGGGAAACCTAACCGTTTGTTTCATCAAAATCGGTCACAAGATTGGACTTTAATTTCGGTCCTATTGATTGCAGTTTTGACTGTGTCTCATTGATATTCATTTTTTCTACTGTTCGAGACACACAGAGTCACTACCACCAACATCTCACCAGGTGACTAATCTACGTCTCGTGTGCTCTTAATTTTGTAGTTTTAAAGTGCTGGGAAAATTGTAGAACATATATTAATTCACTGCTGAACTGAACATCAGCTTTCGCGCACTTCGAACCCACTCGCTCAAATTTGCAATGTCTTTTTTTAAATATTTCTATTCCTTTCCCATTTCAAAACAAAGAAAACTGAAAGTGTTTACTTGCATCAACAAACGTTTCTGCACTTTGTTTAGACTTTGATGAGGTCAGCGCAATCCTCCAGGCACTACATATACGCACGCTGTTGTCCAGGTCAAGTGGGGAGATGAAATTTGATAGTAGCTCGTGTATGTTAAAGCCGGTCTACTTCGCTTTTGTTAAGACCATGTTAGAGTTTTTTTTGGAAACTACACATTTTGTTAAATCGCGAGCACATTCGCCAAGACCAACGAGCAAAATAATCGCTATGATAGCGTTGAGACGCGCCATTTTGATGAAGGCAAACCCTGTGATGAGCCTCCATGCACATCGCTTGTTCAGCGGTCGCGCATGCTCATGCAAAAAAGACCCCTGTTGGTAGGTGGGCACTCGATCGAGAGGGGAGCTTACTAAGTTTTCCTGTCGGTAATCAAGCGTACCTTAGTCCATTATACGGTTTACACACAGAGTTACCACCGAAAAGACAACAAAAACAGGTTTTCCTTGTATCCCTATTAGTAAGGAAAGGATGGGGGGAGGGGGAGGGGGGCGCTTATTCGGGGGAGGGCACTTATTCGAGAAAATACGGTATCCAAACGACCGTCACGATCGTGCTTTTCCGTGGTTTTCTGTCATGTTCACTGATGACTTACAGAAAAGGGGTCTCTTATCTCTCGACACATTCCCCAACGAATTGACAGAGGTCAAGAAAATAAGAGGAATATTTTCATTTATACCCTGAAAGATTTCTTAAATGTCCCCTGGGAGACAAAAGAACAGTTAAATAAATTTCTAACGAATTCCAACAGCGGCCGGAAGTAGGATTAGAGTGGGCGTTTAAGGATTTCTAGTTGTTCCTTGAGCACCAACATAGACTTCCAGAATCCTAAAATACAGTTAGCACATAAGCACTTGCACTACATAAGGGACCAGAAATAATGAGTTTAACAGAAAGACAGAGAAGCAATACTATCACTTAAGTACAATCACACAAAAACAATACCTTCTGAATGAGAGGGGGAGGAACTGGAGAATGAGGAGCAAAATAAGAACCACCAGGAGAAGCTCCAAGCTGGCGACAAAAAAAAAAGACAAGGAAAGAAGGCTTGTTTAAAAAAAAAAAACTAACAAAAAAAAACAGTCCAAGAGTTTACGCAAAACCCTAAGGAAATTTTAGATTACTCTCAATTCAATAAAAATCCAAAGAAAGTTATAAAAACAGAAAATGTTGGCTTAGCTTTTGTCCCTGTTTGGTGTCTAAGTGTGCATAGCAACTTAGCACAATGAAGAAAAATATGCTGCGTATTTTTCGTGGGATGGGTGTAAAGGCTAAATTCGATCGGTTAAAGAATGCCCCACTAGTCACAATGTTGCTACAAAATCATGATATGCATCCAGAATCTCCATGCTTCTTCCCCCTTTCCTTGCCCCTCCCTGCACCCCGAATTGCCCCGTCGAGACCCAGGACATAATTTTAGAGACCTTCAGATTGAAAGACGAGTTCGACAACGAGAACGAGATTTGCACAACTTTAAGTAGTGCTCGACTGCTCGCGCGTGAACCAGCGTCATTTTGGCGGGAAACGTGATGGCCATCATCATTCTACTACGAGTTTTAGGGAGAATGCAGTAGTGGCAAAAACAAGTTATCAAATGTTAGGAATCTTATATTCTTATCATTTAGCGATCGGGAGAGGGCTTTACGTCTCTCAACGGAAATAAGCGAACTAACTTTTTTGGCCAAAAAAAATGTACAAGGATGCTTTCCTGGGTGTCTATTTTTAGAGAATAGGCGAGAAAACTTAAAATTAAATGACGTCATCGTAGTTGCCCTCGTCCTCGAATCTAAAGCTCTCTATTATCAACGATCGCAAACTCGCAAAATGCGAGTGGTTTTCGGAAGTCGCCTGTGAAAGGAATGCCCTCTACGAGTGAATTGTGAATAAGTATTTCCCCCATATAAATGTGAGAAAGAGAAGGTACATGTTGTTGAAGAATTTCGGTGTAGAAAAACTATGCATACATTGAACAGTGCGAGAGAAATGCAGCCACTGTCCACTTGTTTCTACGTAGAACAAGCACAACATAACACTTCTCTACTCCTTAGACACGCCGTGGCTAAACGGAAATGACAGTTGACCATCTAATATTATCCGACCAAACATCCTAAAAATTTTCCTTAAGTTTACAACATGATCACTTCCTCAGGTCAACAATATTGGGAACTCAACTTTTCTCCATGAAATACAGACTCTAAGTATTAAAATGCTGTTGCTAAAGGAAATAAACCAGAATAATCATTTCACACACATAACAACTCACCACAGACTGGGGTGCCTGTGGAGTGATAACTGGGGTACCATTGCTGTGGAAGTGTTGATGCTGATGTTGGTGCAAGTGTTGGTGATGATGCTGATGACTTTCATAATGCATGAGCTGTGATGCACTCAGCCCAGGGGGAACTCTGTCTGCATGTGACTGCAGGAAACGATTATTCAGTTCATGGCGCAGAAGTTCAGGACCTGTATGAAGTAGGCGAGTTATTCAGTCTCAGGATTGACAAAAAAAGTGTTGTGCAACATATACACTGGATCAGTCTCATTAAGGCCAGTTATTCTCATTTCAGCCCAAACACGTTTGATTTAACCCGACAAACTCCTCACTTATGAGTCTGTGGACTAAATCCTAGGACATAAATCAAACAAAAGCAGTACATTGTACTTTCTTGAGGTGCTGTTACTGTACAAAGTGATCCTTTCTTTTGAGTCCGTGGACAATATCCTATAGTGGTGTGTGACGATTTAAGCGAAACCTCGCCAACAGTACTTTTAAGTGTGTGCACACTCTTATTTGCTTTTACAAAGACTGGAAATTATATCCTATAGTGCATGACCACATAAATGAAATCTCAGTTAATATTTTGTTTCTAGTGTTTTCCAAACGGGAATTTGACATTTTTCTCGGAATTCATTTTCTTTACCCTCAAAATTTACAAAAATGAAATCTGAACTAAATTTTTAAAAGCTATACCTCACAGTGTTGAACATTATTAGCTGCTCTACCTATTGAGTCTGTGGGAAAAATGTCTATTAAGGTAACTTTATGAGAAATTGCTAAGCGATAGTTAATTAGTACCTGAAAAGTATTTTATTATTGAAGTACCATAACGAGAGAAAGAGTAAAAACCTCTCTTTCTCTCTGTAGGTACTTTATAGGAAAGTGCAAGTGCAGTATTGCCTAATCTTTCTTTTAAGTGCTTAATTCAGCCATGGTTTTAACACCACCATACACCTCCACATTTTCCAGATGACCTTCCTTGCCAAGGGGGGTGGTGTGGGGTGGTGTCAAGCCAGTGTCTGAATCATTAAGTGCATTACTTGGATAAGGAAAAGGTGACTCGCCAGCCGGTCCATGAGAGTAGCCGCCCAGGGCACCAGGATGGGCATGAAATGAAGGAAAGTGTGGGAACAAGCTGCTATGATGAGGGTGTCCAAATGAGGGCGTCATAGGGTGGCTTGCAGTTGTAGCTGTGGAACTAAGTGCCAAGTGGAGGCTTGTTGAAGTGCTTGTGCTGCGGCTGCTGGGGCGCTGAGATGTTACGGTTGATGAACTAAACAAGAAATACAATAAATAAAGTTATCATTCGTTCAAAATATTTCCCATTTCTGATTGACTAAATGCCCTGGCCAATTCTTCATAATCAGCTACCATTGTCTACATTTGGGAAACCAAGTAGGGAAACACTGTAAAATTTTCCATATTTGGTGGAAAATTACATCAATGGTGCCCGACAACCAACAGGAAAGGGCGTGGCTGTTGTGGTTCACTTTCATCCTTGGTTTAAATTTTATTTCCCTTTGTTTTAGGTTATGGTAATGTATGATAATGAGTTTAAAACAAAAGGAAATAAACTTTAAACCAAGCATAAAATTGAACCACAACACGGTAACTAAGAAGCCCTACGGACAAGTTTGCATTGTGTTTGTGGAACTAGCAAAAATAGCAGCAAATTTTACACATTTTGCAAAGAAAAAATAGCTAAATTACTGCCTGAAAACATAGAAAGAACAGCCAAAATACAACTCGAACAAAGACAATTTGCTATCTGACGAAAATCTGCTACGCTAAACATCCCTTTAAATCCTGATTTTGCCAAAAAGCAGGCAAATGAAGGTAGGAACCTTACATTAATTATTGTAAGTATGAATTCTTTGTTATGAATAATACATGTAATTTAACACAATTATTGAATTCAGCTTTTTCAGTTGATCTGAAGAATTATGCAGATTGAGGAGGGTGTCTGATGATCGAGGTGGATGACACTATCCTCAATCTGTGCAATTCGTCACATCCTGCTCAGACTTATTCAATAATAGCTAATAACTATTATCAACGATTTACATGTCCCATTTAGAGATTGAAACCAAACCTGATTAGCTTACTGGTACATTAATTTGCAACAGTTAATTACAATGACTTTATAACCAGTCGCTTAGACTATTGCAATAGTCTTCTGTATGCTTTGCTTAAGTCACAGATTGTCAAATTGCAACGTATTCAGAATGCAGCAGCGAGACTCGCTATGAACATCAGCAAGTATTCTCACCTATATAAGTATTTTAATTATTATTATTATTATTATTATTATTATTATTATTGGCTGTTATTACCTTGGCCATTCTGAAGGTTTTGATGTACTTTTCTCAGCCTCTTTATCAGAGCTTTCTCCAGAAACGGGTTTAGATATGGCTACTGATGTCTTATTTAATAATGTTCCTATAAGAAATACAAAATCAAGAAAGGATTACAAACAAACACTAAACTTAGGGAAACTTTGTTTACAAACTAAGAGATCTACACGTACTACCTCCTGGCTTAAGAATAATCCTTGAAACTTATTCATGTTTTTACGTTCATATGAAGGTTAATTGTTGATATTTCAGGCATGTTACATTACACTAAATACATTACAGTACTATAACTGGAGTTCAAGAAGTTTATAAATAGTGGAATATCCAGTTAATCAATTCAGAGGTAGCCCAAAAAATTAATAATAAATTTCCTCTATAAAGCACTTGAGGTAGCTTGAAAGAAAAAATATGCCAAGACTTTTTACTACCTTTCCAGATTTTATTTCCATTTTCCACACTTTTTTCAAGAATTCAAGACTTTGTACAAACCCTGTATTTTTTACAGAAATTTTGGGTGCATATCCCTCTTCCAGTGTACAGAAAACTGTTCACATGCCCAAATTATAGGAAGCTGAATTTAATATTCAGACCAATTAGACATGCACGCACAAAACGCTTACCACTTTGAGCAGATGTTGTCACTGCAGATTCATTCTCTGACATCTGAAAAATACCAAAAATTGTAAAGTAATAAATTTTAATAAAGCAATTGAAGCTCCGTAACACCCACAGTTCCATCTAATTACCACAGTTAACCCAAATCTATTTGTTTTCTTGTAATTTAAACTTTAATTTATATTTAATTGACATTAAAAATAGGTTAATAGCCTGGTAATAAAGAGCAGCTTACAATAATGTATATCAACAAAGCACCTTTTGCGAAAATAATGATCTTAGTAAAACAATAATTTAACAAGAATATTAACAAGAATAATTCAAGACCAGGAAACACAACTTTTCATCCATCCAGTATTAGTATATACACACTCAGTGATCTTGGTGATTTAAGCAATCTGATTGGTTCGCTATCTCGGACTATTCAACAATAAAATAATGATCTTTTTTTAGTAAAACAATAATTTAACAAAAATCGATATTAACAAACAAATTTAAAAGGAAATTTTGCAAGACCAGGGAAAAAAAGAATGATACAAAGACTTTTCATCCATCCAGTATTGTTTTAATGGCTTATTTTTTTCCTCATTCAAACTTTTAGGAATATGTTTGAAAATTCCATTATTTTTTTAAACTCCATTTACCCAATCATCTAATATTTCCTAAATTTTGTTGAATTCTCATATACTAAAACAATTTTCTTCTAATTTAATAGTGGCTTTGACCATTTGAATTTTTGCCACTACTGCAAAATAATTGTTAATTGTTTTAATACTGGAATATTAAAGCCATTATAACCCACCTACCCAACTAATATCTTTCTCATAGCAAACTAATTTAAGACCATTTGACAAAAAATACAACCAATCTAGAAAAATGAACCCCCCCAAATTCATTAATCCATACAAGAAAAATCTGCATTTTGGTAAATTCCCATCAGACCTTAAATTTAGTATCTAGCCTAATACATGTAGCAAAAAAGATCAAAGTTCACTACAGCAAATTACAATGATCAACAAAGAGAATTAAAACAAAAATTGACAGAGGATTTAGTTAAGGGCAAGTATCAGGTTTAAATTTTGTTTTGCTCTGATGCCATATTTTTTACAAAAAAAATAATAAGATGATGCACATGCATGTTTCTTCCTTTCTCATCAGCTCATTTCACCCACAGCCCAGCCCCTACAACCAGCAACCTTACAGACAACTCTCCAGAGAACCTTATTTAGTTCAATTCTTAATTTATTTCAAAATAAAAAACCAAAATAATAAATTTCAACAAAAAGGTTTACTTTAATGCTTTTATTTTACCATAATATACAATATACAATATTTATAGGGCGCTAATTCCCAATGGTCCAAAAGCGATTTTCACCATACCCCAAAATTTCTCATTTGAAATGATAAGTATTATAAATAATGTTTGAAGAGAATGTTGCAACCACTTGAGATGAGTTGTGCCCAAAAATTAATGTGGCAAAAACTATCAGGCCAGCTAAGCAAACACAAAATATTACTTACGGAGACAAATTTGAAAGAGTTGGGAGGAGTATGTTTAAAAGTTTTTAGTTTAACCAATAACAAATGAATATAAACTTACCCTCTCACCCTCACTCTCTGTGTCACACTGAAAAAAACAGAAGAAAATTAATGCAGAGCTCTAGGTTATAATAAAACACTTACATGCGCCATGATAATACTCCTACAAAGTATGCTGAAACTAAAGTAAATGAAACAATGTAAAAAGAGTTACCCAGTATCCTTTATCTGAGCTTGCAGAGTCTGAATTATCCTGAAAACAAAGTCAACAGAAGGTGTTGAATTATTATTGAAATGTGGAATTTACATAACACCAATGATGATGACTCACTGCAAGTTTTTCCACAAAGGTGTCACAACATGGTGAAACTTGAACTGAAATTGTCCAATACATACTGACAAATGCCACTTTCATGGAACTCCAATGCTACATAACACCCAGCAATATCTATCAAAATCTAACAGCTGTCAAATTAGCCTCTTAATAGTTTGTGCTATATCTTTTGGTCACAAAAATACCATTGCTAGCCCTAATTTTCACATGTCACAATAGGTACAGTGTCATTAACCTATTTAATAAACAGAAACTTTTAGATAATACTTGATGTCTTAAAAAAAGGTTAATTTTTTTAAATTAAAATATGATAATGCTCAGCAGCAGGCCATGTGTTTAAGGGAGTTTAAGATGTCACGACAACAACAGCAATAAGAACATCAAAAAAGTGTTAGGTTTCATTGAGCAAAACAACACCTCTGCAAAGGCATCACACGTTTTGTACATTTCTTTGCCACCATGCACTGCAGGACTATATACACTGTAGTTAAAATGCCTAATTTACCACTTTTAAACAGAACAATGACAAAATTTTCTTTCTCTTTCTGAACTTGGATGTAGTTCTTAGGAACTCAACTCTGGGAGAGTTTGTCATAATTTGACAAAGTAAGCAAGTTAGAATAATCCTGATAAAGAACGTAAGTTTCCTTTCTAACAGGCATTTTTGCTGCCATCACCATCATGGTATCTTAAACTCCCTTTATTGACAAACAACTTACATCACTTGTGTTCCCAACTTGCTTCTCTCGCTGTGGAGCAAGCCGAGATCCCTCTGGTTTCTTTCTTTCTACATTTGCCTCTTCCTCTGAGTCACTGTCCTTTGGTTTTGGATCAAGATGCATCTAACAAAAATATAAACATACACTATCACTGTATAACTTTCAACGAGCAGTGTACATTCACAGTAGTGATTGGTCAATTAAGAGGGTTAGATTGTCATTATTGATATTTCTAATATTATTTATTATTGTTATTATTATTATTATTATCATCACACTGTATATTGTAGCATCTCAGGCTTACAGTACCACCAAGAAAACCATGTCGGAAATGTTATTTCTGCCCAATCATGCACCAGAAATCCACTCGCCAAACTGTAGTGTTGACTGTTGTTTGTGCAGCAAGAATTGTGTTGGCTTAGATTTTCCAGGTATTGTAATTGATCTAATTTGAGCTAATTCGGGTCGTTTAAACTTAAAGACTACTCATGAAGAAACAGAGAAGTGCGTGTATTATTTTGTCCTTTCACCAATCACTGGTGTTCCAAAGCAATTTTTGTTGCTTTCAACATATGGAGCTGTTGCTAATACCTGTATTGTATTTAAATATCTACAATACATGTATACTACACTGAAATAAAACATGTGAACTCCAAATGGCAGAGATTTGTCAAACAGAAAGTTCATTATTGTTACAGTATAGAATATTTTCTCTTATCGTTTGAGGGTAAGACCTTCCCATGGCCATGTCGTGTTTACAGTGGGCGAGCGCGACATGCTTGAGGTTAAGGAGGCACTTTGCAAATCAAAGAAATAAAGAAATTTCAGCTGAACAAAAGTCTTCCTTGCATGCAGCTAGCTTTCAGTAAAAACCTAAAAAAAATTTTTTTACACACAATGTAAGGCAAGTCAACTATTTCCAAGTAAGAACACTTCAGCTACATAACTGTAGAATCAATGTACTACACAATGTACTGTACTGCAAAAATGCACAAAAACACAACATCAACAACAGGACATAGTATTTTTAAGTGTGTGGTGTGGTGTGGTGTTCTCACAAGACCTGCATTCTTTCTCAAAAATGTTTGCTGCTCTAATCATTACCTGGGCATTCATTTTCCCCTCTCCAACACCCACAACAGGACATAGTATTTTTAAGTGCGTGGTGTGGTGTTCTCACAAGACCTGCATTCTTTCTCAAAAATGTTTGATGCTCTAATCATTACCTGGGCATTCATTTTGCCCTCCCCAATAGCCAACATTCCATATATTTCACAATCATTCCACAAGTGCCATTGGATATGAGTTGGCTATAATCATCACATATCCAACAATCGCAAGTGGAATAATTGTTTCACTAAAAATGCCCACAAAATATTGAGAATTCTTCCCGACTTTATTTGTAAAAACAACCAATTTTCAGCCTGTTTTTAATTTTGAGCAGACACGTAAAGTTAACATATTTGGAGAGCATGGTATAATGGCTCATATACCATGATGGCTAAGCCAATCAGAGCTCTAAAATTGCATTATCCAATTATTCAGATTTTAATAAATTAAAATCATAACATGACTCCCAGCGTTTCTGGTCATTTTTCTATGTATCTGGTTAGGTTTTCTTTGTGCTTAAGTCTCTTCTGGGAATTGCGAAACAATGGAGTCATGAAGAATTTGCAATTTTGCCCCTCAAGCCTCGGAGTCATGTTAGAATAATTGAAATATAACGAATGTGGGTCACTGATCATGATACATGTATGTAATGCAACCTAATCTCTGAGGATGTGCACCGAATGCAATAATTTTTTCTCCCAACAAAGAGTAACATAATTTTTTATCCAAGGAAATGAGACCAGAGCTATTAAGAATAACTGACCTTATACCAGTCTGAAATCCAGTAGCCTAACTGCTACACAAAACAATGAAAAAGACCTGTAAAATCTGGCAATCCCAAGGGAATACTAGTGTATTTGCCATACAACAAAAAATAATATTATCATTCACAAGTGTTTCTAAAACCAATTTAGGTGATCATAACAGCCTTCAGCTGTTACAGATTGCCCCTGTTAATAGAAACCAGACATATTTGTCCTTCCGTACAAATGTGGGAGTGACCTGTTTAGAATGATCAAGGGTTAACTGTTCATTCTGTATACATTACAATGTACATGTATGCATTATATAACATTATTTTTCATACATGCCCACAGCATAAAACAAATGACTGTGGCAACAGGTGGGACCTCTGAAAACAAGCCTTGCATACACGTTATAACCCAAACAGCACTGACAACAAGTGATAAATGGACACAAAGCTAGTACTTGCACAGATGTCTCAATAGCTCAGCTGGTCAGTAAAATCAGTTTATTAGGAGCCAAGAGGTACAGGTGTACTCTTTGCCTTTTGTTCCCAAGAAGGCAAAAAACTGTGACACAAGATGAACGTTTCTCACTAAGAGTAAATAGGCCAAATTGTTGTGGAGGTGCCATTAGATACAACAACAGACTTATTCAGGACTGTGATTTCATATATAAGTAGATTACAACTTTTGTCGTTGAAACCTCAGCGGAATTGTTTCAGTTAGAGAGGGACAACAATAATGGCTCTCACCTTAGACCTTTAATGTAATCTTACTTCACATGTATAAGCACCTGTGCATAAAATCCTATAAAAGAACTTCTCACTTTATGCAATTTATTCTGTAATTAACTTTTCAAGTTTTGACTCTTAACACCACTCACAGTTGCAAAAACAATGGCTGTAAGTTAAACCTACCCCCTACCCCACCCCAAAAATTCCTTGAAATTCTGTAAGAAATGATAATTTGGAATGTAAATTTAATCCCTTTATCACTTGAGAAAACAAAGTTCAAAACTTTTCCTAACAGACTAATATAAAGTACATTGTACATTATCTTCAGGTATACTTTTGTGGTGAAAAATACACTATTTTATAGCTGGAGAAATTTGGTCAATATAATCCTCAAACTCCCTTTCAGTGATGACGCTATTATTAACAGATAGCTTCCAATTCTTACTGTAGACATGACAGCAATGAAAAGCTGATTAAAATAAGTTTCAAAAACCTCTATGTGTATTTTGATCATCCCAGTGCTGATCCAGTACAACTGGTCACCATTCATAGAGCCAAAAAAGTTTAGATCTCCCCACGAATTTACATCTTTGCTGCCTGTTTCTATGGTTACCACACCAACTATTGTGAAACATTTTGACTGGCTTGGAACAAGTTAACAATGAAAGGCGGTGTAGTTTCCAGGTACATAGTCATGCCTGCATACAAATTAACAGCTTTTACAAATGAAAGTTCAGTAATTATGTATTAGTGACTCTAACCTACACTGTAAAGTTCTGCTCGATGATCTTTAGCCAAACTAAATAATTAATTTTTATTTAGACTTCAACAAACATCAGGCTAGGTTCAGCAATGCATAGTGATACACATTTATGGAAGCTTAAGACTTTTCCTCACTAGGCACAAATTTTTAATCAAAAGAGTTGTTTTTCAAGTTTGAACAAGTTTCTGAACTTGAGGTGCCAGTTATCTTCCAGTGTTTATACTTTGTTTTTGGTTGACTTACTGTAAACACCTGTCAGATTTATCTTAATATCAATAACAGCTGAGTTTTGTCAACAACCCTTCAGTAACTTTACAAAGTGTAGATTACATCTCTGCCAGCATATGTTAAACACTAGGAGTTTCCATTTGAAAGTAAGTGCTGGCATCAGAGCTGGAGGGCAAAACAGAGAATACAGTTTGAAAACAAATAAAGGGAAGCCATGAAAATGACCCCTGGGAATTACAGAAAGTAAGCCTTTTTAAATAAAAAATACCATTAATTCCATGTATTTGTGATGTATAAAAGCACTTTATGTAAATTTCCAGAGTGCAAGCAGATGATAAATGAGGCCTGAGTTTTTCGTAATTTTATTTGCCTATGGAAATAATTTTATCGAGGTCACAAATAGTTAAATCAGATGAATACCGAGGCACACAAGATATTTTATTGGTGTATCATGCTGCTCTACTATGTCAACAATTTTTGCCAATTTGCAAATGGAGGTGTGAAGATATCGATAGATGGATATTAACGTGTTTATTGTGGTGCTTGAGAAGTTTTCTTTTGACTTGAAGGTTTAAAAACAATTGGACCCAATGGTAGCCTGTGTACCGGAATAGCAGATGGTTGCAAATGCAACAGTCAACTAATTTTACAGTTGAATGGTTAGCCAGGGGTTAGCTTGAAAGAGCAAAACACATTTGGACTCCATATGGTTCCAAGCTTTTCTTTCACCTCGATGGACAAATAAGACTCACAGTCAAATCATCAGCTGCATTATTTACCTTAACAGGCAGAGATTTTGACACAACAGTCAAATTTAATGCCTCAACAGGCAGAGAATACATTACTTTGATAAACAATATTGCGTGGTACTGAAGTTGCTTTTGATGCAGAGCTGGTTTGCTTTGCACCTTTCTTCTTTTTTTGCCCAAGACCAGCAAGCTAGAGTCAGCAGTTTTCTCTGAACAGAAGAATTTTTGCCTCGCACATCACTTCAGCTGAAAGCACAGAGAAGAAGGATAACTTGATCTATATCTTCGCACCTCCATTTATTTGCGAATATGCAAATAGAACAGTCAAACACAAAAATCTCTCGTCTTGTACTTGTAATATGTCTTCAAAACCTTGTTGTACTTGTAATATGTCTTCAGCTCCCCCTGCCTCGATTAGTTTATTAGCTATTTGCAGGTGGGAAAGAAATGTAGTCAGTTATATTTCCAGTTTTCAATAAAATTTCTTGTTGCTGTTGTGTTCCTTGAGATTCATCACTAAAACGCTCTGGATCAAGACCGGCTTACAATATATCTAAGCAAATAAAGACATCTAGAAAATTAAAAAGCAATTACTTAACGCTCACCTCATTTATAATTTGCTTGCTCTCTGGAACTTCACTCAAAATCTCTCAATCTCGTCCAAGTGCATTTTATGTGATGTCATTGCACAGGAGTAGATACCCCAGATTATAAGAAAACCAATTGACCCGCATCCTTCTGATCTTACATCCGATAAATTTTGGCTTTTTCCCACGATTGAATTATTGTATTGTACTTCCTTTTCTTTTGAGGAACAGCTTGGATCATAAATTGGGTATTTTTTTAAACAACTTATTTAATTTTGGTAATACTTTAAGCCACTACAGGCTGTGGGAAGTGTTGCTTCAAGTGGTAAATTTTACCAGTGGTGATCTGCTAAGAAAAACAGAGTGTAATGGTTTTGGTCTGACTATTTTTTAAAAGAGCAGTGTGCTGAGAATCGATCATTGATCGAAATCTTAAAGTGGTGTGATAATCGATTAAAGAATGTTCTTCCAAAAAATAGATTATCAAGGGAAAAAAAACTTGTGTGTTGTCTTCCTAAAAGTCTCATAATCAGAGAAGAAAGAAAACCACAGAATAATTCTCAAGAATCAAACTTCATAACCCTCTCAGGGTTGTCAGAAAGTTTTGAAGTAAGTAAAACGAAAACTGAGCATTCTTTTGAACTTTATCTTTCCATCTTTTGTCTATTAACAGTGTATTTTTAACGCTGAAATGCAGAACTCTGGTCTTAAAACCACCACATGGTGATTGCGCGGCAGCCATTTTTCACCAAGGTTTCCAAATATGGTAAAATTGAATATTCAGGAGCATTGAACGCGAGTTACACGTTTCAACCCCTTATGAGTTTCTGCTTGTACTTAGAACCACTCTCACTGTGGTTTAGCACAAGACAGTCAATTTTTTTTTTTTATTTTTTTTTTTTTTTTTTTTTTTTTGGGGGGGTGCATTTTGCAAACACTTTATTTCAAATGTATTACACAGCAAAAAAATTAACAAATCAAGAACGAGACTGTGGAATACAGGCAGCCAAATTGGCAACTCTAACATTTATCACCATACCATTGATCGGATAAAATCAATGTTGTGTGAAACAGTTGCGAAAAAAGAACATTTCAAGAACATACAGAGTGGTAGTTACAGTAAATGAGAGGTACATGAATAGAAATAAAATGCAATGTATAAGTTGTGCTTCAATTTTTTCCTTGGTTTAAATTCTTTGATTTTCCTTTGTCTATGGGAATGGTAGTGTATGCTAATGAGTTTGAAACAAAAAAAAAATTAAATCAAAGATAAAAATTAGCCACAACATGTCAACTTTTGAGGGATTATAATATTTTGGATGTAAAGGCGATCCTTAAAAACTCCCTGTTCTGTACTCTGACATGTACACAAACTGTAGAAAAATTAGCACGTCTTTATACAAGTTCCCTCGCTACAAAATACTATGTACATGTCAAAAATGTACCCGAGACACCATTGCTATACTTTTAATGTCTGATGCACAGTGGCCATAATAAGGAAAACTGTATAATTTAAGGGTTTTCTGGTTGGAGCCTGGTGATCCTTAGCCATGTTTATAAATTATTAAATAAATGATATTAAAGGTTGGTACAAACACACATATGAATATCCAAATGCTAACACCAAATTCAGAAAGCCAAAATATTATTTAACAATAAACCACAACAGTTGCTCACATCTTTAAGTCCCTAAATAACGCAACTTAAATTCTAAATACAACAACAAGACAAAGTCTCAAGGCCAAATTTCAACATTCAAGTACAAAAAGTAGAACAACATTTCAATTGGTGCAGAATTCTTTCTGTGTCTCAATTGTAAGACAAAAATTCAACATATATTTGTAGATATATGTATATATATTTTAAGTTTTTGGCAGGCAAAGGAATGAAAACCACTTGAATGATTAAAAAACCATGCAATGTAAAAGTGAGCACAGATACACACATATTAGAAAAAAACACACACACCAGAATCATGTTACAATTCAATCTGGAAATGCAAACAAAACCAAAACTTTGCATCAAAATTACCTTTTTTCTTCATCTTTCACTTCTAGAATACAGCATTAGACAAAACCATGAGGATACATCCATTAAAACTTTCTTTCGCTCGTTATTATTCACTGAGTTATTTGCAATAATCAATTAAGTTCACAAATCAGCTTATATAATTTGTTTCTTGTCGCCTCACCAATAGATCTACCCACTCTCAAAATTAAATTTAAATAAAAAGGTAAACAAAATAACTGGTAACCAACACTGTATAACTTCTTTTCATTGAGCTGCTAATAAAAACAATCACAGGTTTCCACGACAAGAAGGCAAAATATGACAATAGTTTTAACAAAAAATGCAACTCCAAGCACATGAAACATAGAAGATTGTCCTACACCTTCCAGGGAACCACTTTTGAAAAATCACCTCTCCTTATCACAAAGAAAGGCTGTTATAAATATTCATGCATAATTTGAGTTCTAACTGGTTTAATTACTCAGGTTTCCCCAATTCTTTAGATTGACAAACTTAGCATGATGTTTCTAGTAATAGTTGGCAGCTGGAAAACAGTAGTCTTATTCTCACAGACGTGTTAGATTTGACAGTCAGTATTTTGAAAAGTCATAAACTTAATGTACCTTCACCAGCTCATAAGATAAGTAATTTTTCAACAATACATGTACATGTGATGAAATCTGAAGACCTCTTACCCTTGCACGGCGCTTTTCAGACTTTCTTTTCTTTCCATTTATGCCATTTTCTAAGCCTCGCTTTGAGCTCTTGTGTGATCGCCTTGTATCTCCATGAAGCTCTGGTTTGCTTGGACCTCGTGACTGACAAAAATAACCATAAATACAGTACAGATTTATACTTTGGTAAATAAACTATCTGAAAAAATTTCAACACCATTTTATTCATTGACAGTGTTATTAACATTATTAAAGCATATGCTAGGGTCAGGAAATTCCTGGTCTTTAATTAATAATTGAATTAATAGTGCTTGGAAATGTAATATGCACTGAATACAAAGTTGAAAAGATTTTTAACTAGTTTGGTTTTCTTTTCTTATTTTTGGCCTCAGATTCTGCTAAAAAGTCTGGAAGAAACATAGAAATAAAACTGTTTTATTATTTTGACCTAAGATTCCCTGAAGAAAATTTTCCTTGACCTCAGCTTACACTTCAATAATTTGAAATGAATTCCAGGTTGAAATTATTTTTAACTACTAGTTAGGTAACTGATTTTCATTTTTTTGCCTCAGAGTATGGTAAGAGGTCTGGAACAAAGGAAAATAGAAATAATAATTAAACTATTGTAATAATTATTACTTTGACCTAAGATTTACCACACTGTGACAAGATACTTGGCATGTACCAAACAACTGGAGAGCACTGACTGGCTAGCATAAGCCTGGATTGTTTCCCAGCTTGTACTGAAAAAGGAAACTTTGAATTTTGCTATTTCACAAGTTTGATATGGGAGTAAAAAGTTACTTATGCTGAAAATTCTGTTATTTAATGTTTAGATATATATATGTATATATCTGATCAGGGTTCAACATTTTCTGAAATAAATGTGATAGAAAACCACACCAGGACTTTTAAACTCTCAGACAGTCTCTAAAGGCACTCCATCTCAGTGTAAATGCCCACCATGACGGATGACATAGAAGCCTTCACAAGAATAATTCATATTGATTAGAACCGAAAACCATTTAAAACATGGAAAAGACATTTTAAAAGCACTGTACATAAAAATGTAAATTTCACTTGTAATTAAATATAATGGTGCTCACAGAGAATCACTAGATTTTAAATCTTGTAACAGAAAAGGTTAAGAATTGAGATTTAAGTATAAACTTGGAACAAATAGAGAACATAAAATTTAAAGTTTATACTTATATCCAAAGCACTTCAGCTGATAGTGTTTCGAGTTTTCATCAAGACTAGGCGATATTGAACAAAAAATTCCCCATGCACAATTTGTAACACAGACAAAAATATTTCTTTTAATTTTAGCAGGCCTGTCAAATGGACAAAGGCATCAATCTATCAAATAACTCGTGCCTGGAAGCATTCACATGCTTTGAGGCTCAAGAGATTGCCACAGAAACAGAGTATTGACTCAGTACTTTCAAAAATAGGCTTCCAAGGGATGCACTCAACATCTCTCGACAGAAAGACAGGTATATTGGTCTGGAACCTTAAGATATTGTTCTTTCTACAAACAAGGAAGGTCCTCTGGGGAATTAAAACACACACTAGTGGCAAAAAGGTACAAAATTAAACAAAGCTGAGTTAACAAGAAGAGAACGCAGTTGTTGAGATTTGCAGTCCGAATCGACAAACCATTGATAAAAAGATCCCTGTGTAAGCTCGATCTCTCGAGGAATAAACATTTTCAAATATAAACTAATGATTTCAGTTCCACTCCGAATTATCAAATAACCGAATTTTAGTTTCGTTGATGCTTCTTCTAACAAAAGGCATATGCGAAGAAAAGTTAAGGAATAAGTGAGAACGAGGTGGGAACATTTTTAATGTGTATAAAAACAAGCTCTTTCAGATTCAGGGATCTCATGAATAGCAATCGATCGCTTTGAGTATTTTTTCAAAGTGTGGATCTTTGAAGACTGGCAAAAGGCCATGAAGGGCAAGAAAAATTTAAACATAAAAATAACATGGCTATGAGGTGAAGCTAACAAAGCTATAGCTAACAAGGGTGGAATGTTTGTTAATAACTTAATCCAATCATCTGCGAGAGTTTGGCTTGATCGGTCCTATTTTAATCGCTGAATATTTAATACTCCTTAGGGCAAGATGTTTTCACCAGCACTGAAAATTTAAAGAGGGTTCGAAAGCCACTTTTCATTCGAGTAACCGATTGAATATGCACTCGAGATATTTGTCTGTAATAAAAACGTACATATATCCCTTCGCTGCCGATTTTTAAGGTTTATCACTCAAGCGCCCGACAACATTCTTAATTTCTAAGCTGTGGTCAAAACATCCAACGCCGTTAGCTTCGCGCAGCTTGAAAGCAAATTGCAGATGCACAGCTTTCGTGGCTTTATAAAGCACCCCGGAAGGAAACAAGCCATGTACAACGAACGAAAGGGTCGATCAGCCATGTTTTAGCAGATAAGGCACTCTGCACTTTACGCACACTATTTTCCTAACACGCAAAAATGGCCTCCTTGGGCTATCGAGAATCATTTGTGGTCTCCTCGAGGTTTACTCGCTAAATTACAACTCTAAGTATCACTTGGAAACAATGATACCGAGACGACTACAACACGTAGGAAGTTGTTCATGCGTAGCTTTTATATATTTAGCGTTGATATCTCCTTGAAAATCTCTCGAAAAGGACCACCTCTCAAAATTCGGCACGAAGACAGAATAAGGTCGTTGAAAGACAAGTTTCTGACCACTCGGATGTGCGAGATCGCGGCGAACAGCCTCTGAAAGAGCCTCGATTTGTAATCCTGTTTGAAAATCTACCAAATTAGGCTTCTATTTCGAAATTACAGATCAATCGAATATCTGACATTTATCATTGTAGGAAGTAGTTCTTGAGGCTGAAAGCTCGAGTGAATTGTTGCGAAAAGTAAACATTGTACGATCTCCATTCTTGGCCGCCCTCTGTACACAAAATGGCTAAAGGATGAGCATTTTCAAAACAACAGAACGAATCAATCGTATCCAATACTACCCAAACAACTCTCTTTCGCATGGCACCATTAAAATTTCCTTTAACTGAGCGATTCCTACTTTGCTCGTTACAGTAGTTTGACTCGTCGCAAAGAAGTGTGAGAGAGGAGCATTTGACCGACCTGCTACTGTTAATAGATTGATAAAGAAGGCCGCAAATAATTAACATTTCTCCTTACCTCCAATGCCTCCAAAGACGAGTACGAAGAAATGGCAAATCCGTCGATAATATCCTCTTCCGGCGAAGTAGAACCTCGCCGTTTACGATGAGGTTTAGTTCGGCTTTTACCATTAGCGTTCACCGCGTGCGTAGCATCTCCGTCCATGTCCACTACTTCGCCGTTTTCGGCGGTTTTTGCATCTTCGTCGCTCTGAACCGCTTTCTTAACTTCTTCATCTTTCATTTTCACCTTCTCTGTTACATTATAAGCTCTCCAGCCTCTAGTGGGGTGGTAAAAAGCGCTCCAATTCCCTGATTCTAGTCAGCTGTTACTGGACGAGACAAGTCAACGAGTAGAAAGTGAGTGAACTGAGTCGAGTGTAGTTAACAATATCAGCAAGGTGCCTTTAAAATCCCTCAGGGGAGGGGAGGTAGCCTCGGTGAAAAAAAGTAACAATTGTTTTCATTATATTAGTAGATATGGTCCCTTTGTTGTATTTCTAAAGTAATTTTATAGCCATTTAGCTCGATTTCAATATCCTAAGGATAAAGAATCCGCATGCTCGTGATGCACATCGATGATATCTTTAAGATCTTACACCCCTCCCCGGAGAAAATGAAACAGTTTTCCCGCAAGCATGATAGACAGCCTGTTGAGATCCCGCCTCCTTTGTTTCATGGACCGGAGTTTTGTGGTTTACAGGTCACAAGTAAAACACTCTTTTTCGCGTAAATTGGCCTTCCGGTGTCTTTTCCACACTTAACGGCAGCAGGGAAATTGCAGAAGCGCGGAGAATTTCCCGTTGGAAAAAATGTCCTTGGCGCTTTTTGACTACGCCTGCATTGTTTGTCGTAACTCCGCAAGCGCAGAACAATTAATTAAAGAAACACAACTCAGCTGTGTTTGTTTCTGTCGTTCTTCACAGATACCAACTATTTAAACATCCGTTCTGGAACAGCTAGAGAATGATGAAATTTTACCAAAACGTGCCGAGTAACTAAATTCTCAAAAAGCTCATTCGAGGCGAGAAAAAGTAGCTCTGACCGTCCATAAAATGGTTTTTCGGTTTTTTTGTTTTCACGGAACCAATAATCCTTCTGAAGGAACTAAACGTTTCCGAAACTGTCAAATTTTGGTTATGTTGTTTCATAAAAGGCTAATTGCCAGATAAATTGAACCCAAAACAGTTTTAGTTTCACACTCAGCCAGTAATTATACAGAAAGGCTATTAATTTTTATGCTTTCCCAAACACCATACTGTTGCGGCGTTTAGTGTCCGCGGCTTTCGAAGCGAGCTATTCGGCGATTTCTCGTGCCAAAAAGGAGGCATTAAATTTTCCTTTTATTCGATCGCTACGGACTATAATTTTTCGAATGTGATGTTTATTTTAACAACCGCCTTGAAGCAATGCTCCCTATTAGTTTTGGCTACGGGGCGGATAAACAGCAGATAAGAAGACAGAGAGTTGCCATGCTTCACTGCATGATGATGTGCTAGATTGAAAGAAGACTATAAGATCAATGATCATGGTCGATGCATTTCCTGATAAAATCTAAAGCGATACTTCTAGTATGGATCTCTCTTTGCTCCTTTTTGCTTCAAAAAGTTCAAGAATCATTGCGATTAATTTGCTACCAGAACAAAGCAAAGTTTCCACGAACTGACGGCTTGTGCTAACATGAAAAGGCAACGCAGCTCGTCAGACAGATTGAATAGGGTGGTTGTCCTTGATGTTTGAAATACATGCTTGTGATGGTCCAAATCTATACTGATACATATTCAGTGCGTTTCTGAGATGTGTTTTAATTTGTGTTTACTGAAAGCAAATACGAGCAAAATATTCGTCCGGTTCATTTTCCGTTGTCAAGTGCTTTTCACTTTTTTGATGTAGAATAGATTGATGAACCCGTCGATAAAGCGTGAAAAACTAACTGCACTTTAGGAAACTATAATAAGAAGGAAGGACATTAATCGATCGATGTGAGTTGAATATTTTGATGCTGTTTTATCGCTTAGGCTTAATCAGAGGAGGCTTGGTTGAAAATGCCCCGTCAAATTTCAAAGGTCGTTAAGCACATTGTTAAATAAAACGGGTGTTTTTTCGATATCGAGAGGATATTTCTCTGTTTCAGTCAATGCATGATATAAGTGCTGGCAAAAGAATGAAAAATAATCATGGCTGCATGTCTCAGTAAAAAACGACAAAAATAAACCTGTTACCTTTTGTCAGCAAATTTAAAGGTACTCTCAGGTTCAGCTGTGAGACAAGTTTATTTTTTTAGATGCAAAATGTTATGTTGTCTGTTCCATAGAAAAAAATTGCTGTGAGTGGTACTGAATATGATGTGAAACAGTGTTAATTAGAAAAATGAACTCCGGAAAAGCCCTTTTTTAGAAAAAAAAAATGAATGAATGAAAAAATAAATAATAATTCTGGGCAGCTGGATTGATGAGTTTCCAACCTTACCGCATCTTTTCCTTTAATCTTCCGCAACAAAAATAAAAAAAAATTACTTTGAAGGTCTTTGAGGGATTAAGTTAAGTTTTGTTAATCGTGTTTATTCTTTTAGGGCATTATAGTTTCCTGATAATTCCCGTAGCTGACCGATCAAGTGATATCTGACTTCACATATATCAACGGGGTATTTTTCCAAAAGTATCATTTTCCTTTTTTTACCATCTTTTTTCTTTGCTTGCACATTTGAAAAATTTAATCATGAGATTCATATATTTGGTGGTGATAAATGTAACAAAAAAGTAAATTTTTGCGAGCTAAAGTAAAATGAAAGTGAATCACCAGGTAAAACATTTACTACATTTTACGGTTACTACATTTTAAAAATGGTCTTTAAATGGAAAGGAATAGCTCGCAACATTCAAATAACAAACCGATTATATTTCCAGTTTTATTGTAAATGGGAAAGTTCAAATTGACCCGAAAGGTGAAAACAACAGTTTAAAATTAAATGAAATCCATTTGTTACCAAAGCGGATATTTCAAGCCTCTCTTTGGTTTCTATAGGTTTCCTTCAATTTTGTCGGAACGTGACCGACGCGAGAAATGTTTGTTCACACACACCTTTGTGATTACTAATTGAGGCTTCCTCCAGTTTGGAAAAAAAATAGTGACGTAGCATCGACGAAATTTAAGGTTTGCTCCATTCCCTTTCAATAAAAGTTTATATGTTGCTTGGAGACTGATGAAAATTCGGGAAAATTTATGTCTATGAAGCGTTTGCGTTGACATCGCTTAATAAACTTTGACTACGGGGAAAGTTAATTCAACAGCTGATTGAAATAAAATAAAATGTTTAAACTTCTATAATCCGCGGTTCTTTTAATATTGAGTAAGCCCGTTGTCTTTTCATTATCGCCAGTTGCAAAATCAATTTGGAAATAACATCTTAGAAGAGACAGTTTTAATATCCACTGAATATCTGATATTTGCAGATGCATTGTAGAGATTATTAACGTCGTTTTGAGATGGTAATTTATGGTTCTGTCTCAAAGCTAAAAATCTTTGTTGGAGCTCATCAATATTTCAGTTATTTTTCACGGTTTCTGTTATTTAAACTCTAACCGAACAAATTTAATAAGCTTTTATGTAAAGTAAATTGAACGGAATATTTTTTCAGTATTAAAAGTCCCAACTTGGTGAATATACTGACGTTGATAATAAAATGAATTAAAACGAACCACATTCATTTGAATAAAAGAACAGTATTATTTACACATCCGATAAGTTGTTATATCATCAAGAAAACCTGCAAAGTAACACATGCGGACAATCTGTGAATCCTTCTCTGTTTGTGGTCCTTTGATGTAGACAAATCTCTTGCATACGGGAACAAAAGCACCTCATTAAATTTTCATTGGGCTATACTTTACGGACACTATGTGAGTCAGTACCATTGTAAATACTGCGAGAACTGAATTGTGCGATCTTCTGGTGCTGACGACAAACAGTTATGCTCTGAGAATGTGTTTCGACCAAAGAAGAAATTTCCCATTCGATCCGTCTCGCAACTCACCTGTGCACAGAGTCAATTCTGCTAATTACCTGCATGACTTGGTGGATTCATAATTTATTCTCCGTCGTTAAGTGCATTTGTAACCCTGCCGCTAAATTGCGTACTTGCAAAAGTAGCACAGAATAAAAAATTAAACAACTTTTCACATCGTAAGTACAGAACAACTATCGAAAATTTTCATTTGAAAAGAAGTGAAAAAAGAAAACAGTGACATTGATCCTAACCTGGAAATTAAATGTACTGACGTAAACCACTGATTTTCCGACCCAATTCTCGAAACTGAGTCCGTCAGAAATGCTAACAACTCAAATTAACTGCATTTCGCTGGTTTAAAAAGTAATAAATTCTAAGTTCTAAAACAATTTTTGCATCTACCTTGCAACCTTTGGCTTCTCTAAAGATAATATTTTGACTGTAAACATGTTAAAATATAGCTCCAGCCCCTATCGGAACTTAATTGATTTCGAGTCCCAGCTTTAGAACCAGTTTTGAGGAGACGCTAAGTTGTGTTAAGATACACCTTGCAGTGTTGAGGACAGGCTCATGGGACTTTCAAAATAAAACAGTCGCTTGTTAGTTAAATATAAACATTTAAGTATTCCCGCTCACACAGATATTTTCAAGCAATCAAAGTATACGTTTCCTTTGGCAAAACCGGGCTGCAATAGTCAATCTTGTTAGTGGCATCCTTACCACAAAACTATAAATGTACAATTATAAGTAGCATTTAGAAGCAGCAAAATTAGGAAAGTGCTAGAACTCAGGCGCTGTTTTACTTAGGCCAGGCGCTTTGCCGCTTAACTACGCTGGTAGTGTGTTCCTGGCACAACAAGATCTGGCAAAAAAAAAAACAGTGACGGTATGTGTGTGTAGCCGTACTGAAAAGTGACTGCATTATCAGTGTTGCGCGAGGACCTAGTTGTCCTGGTTACGTCACTGATAAATGGAAGAACGTCATTATCGGTAGAAATCATGGCTCTGATAGCCATAGAAAAGAAGGCTATATCAAGATATTCTTGCCAACATTGAGGGTCTCAAAGTGATGGAAGCATTCACGGCTAACGGTTAACTAAAACTGGCATTTCAATGGCTAACGGTTAAATTTCCCTCCCTTACGGTTATACAGACATCCGATGGAAGAAGGAAAAACATTAATTTGAAAAAGGTTTCGTCTGTTCAATCTTATTCTAAGGACTTTTCCGGGATGGAAAAGAGACTGAAATATAAGAACCATCAGCCATGAGCCGGAAAA